GAAATTATCAAGGATTTCATTTTACTTGCATCCACAGTCTTAAGTATTTTTGCATTGGGCAAATCTGCTGCAAAAGACCTCTTTAAAGTTTTTAAGAGCAAAGATGCCACTTTGAAAACTAAAATGCTCTTAATCCAAACCATCGTATTTTCAACAGCCTCATATGCATGTGAGAATTGGACAGTGAATAAGGAAGTCCACAGAAGAATTTATGCATTTGAATTGTAGTGTTGGTAAAGAATACTAACTATACCGTGGACTGCTTGAAGAATGAACAAATCTGTGTTGGAGGAAGTACACCCAGAATTCTCCTTAGAAGAAAGAATGGCCAGAGTTTATTATATTTTGGTCGTTTTGTCAGAAGGGACCAGTCCCTGGAGAAGATTCTCATGCTAGATAAAGTAGCAGGTTGGCAGGAAAGGGAAAGACCCTCAGTGAGATGAATGGACAGAGTGGCTATGACAATGGGCTCAAGCCTACCAACCATTGTAAGGATTGCGCAGCATTGGGCAGTGTTTTGTTCTGTTGTACACAGGGTCACTATGATTCAAAACCTATTTGACAGCACTCAACAACAACGTCTTATAAAGTAGCATGGAGTAGTAGAAAGAGTCTGTGGTACGCCCGTGCTTACCTTGCTCCCGGAGACCCGGTCCCCCTCGGGAGGGTAACAAGGGAAAGTGTTCAGTGCAGATCAGTGAGTAAGCACCAGCCCGCCCGTGCTTACCTTGCTCCCGGAGACCCGGTCCCTCTGGGGAGGGTAACAAGGGAGCCGTCTGAGCACTAGTGACTGGGTTTTACCTCTTTCTCCTGCTCTTCCGGCCTGCTACTCTGTGCTACCAATATAATTTTACTCTTTTTATATATGTTCTGTCATTTCATGGAGATTTTGACAGAGGATAAAATAGATGCATTATAAGTACACCGTATCTTACATTCAACTAGTTACTAACATATTGAGGACTAAAACACCTAAGTTTATTAATGATTCATGGTCTTTCTACTACCACCAAAGCTACAGAGGAGGAAATTGAAGAATTTATCAGCTTCTACAGTCTGAAATTGACCAAACATGCAATCAGGATGTGTTAATTATCACTGGTGACTGAAATGCAAAAGTTGGAAACGAAGAATCACTGGTAGTTGGAAAATTTGGCCTTGGTGACAGAAATAATGCTGGAACTCGTATGGTAGAATTTTGCAAGACCAACGACTTGTT